ACTCTTTCAACATGTAAAGTGTTTTTAATATTATAAATAGTGATATGTAAAGTGTAATTTTTGAAATTATAGAAAAAAGTGAAATCTTGTACATTCCCGGTCAAAGTAATTTTCTTTAATACATATTAATTCGAGTGATGAATATTTAAATGAATATCTGGAATTGATAAATAAAATATAAATATTTATTTTTTATTTCATTAAATAATATGTAAGATGTAGATATAGTAAAAATTCAATTCTTAGATATTCATTATTACCCATACTTTTTTTCTTGATATTTTTTAAAATACAATAAAAAGATAGATATAAATGGCTTAATCCAAAGGTTTTTTTGGTCGATTCTATATATATTTTTTTATTATTAATTCCAAAACCATTTATGGTAATTTAATTTTTTTAGAATGATTATTTATAATTAAATTAAAAAAAAGTTAATAGCGTGTGTTATCCACGTCTCAGAGCGTTAAAAGCGTTTATGCTATTTGGTCAGAATATGCAGCACCTCCAAATAATCAAATCTATCTTTTCACTATATCATTGAAAATGTCTCTGTATTCTTTATTTTCTAGTACGATGTATGTTGACGGTGATGAGACAACTAGTCGTCAATGAGCCTTTTTTTTTTTCTCTTCTTTAAAATTATAATTTGATCCTATTTGTTGTATTTCAATTTAATTCTTTATTTTTTTAATTTTTAATTTTTGTTCATGATTTTTTTTATAAAAGTTGTATTTATTTTTAATTTTTTCTTTCAATTCTAGTTTTTTAGATATTATTTTTTAAATTTTATCCTTATTCGTTTTCTTTTGATGACTAATTTTTTTCCTTGATCTTTTTCTAGAAGTTGTATTATTTTTCAGTTTCATTATTCAATCCAAGTTTATCATGTATTTTTTTTAAATTTGGTTTCCATTCTTTTAATCTTTTTTTTTTTAAATTATGTTTACTATCATTGTCTATTTTTTTATCATCTAATTAAAATAAAACCAACTTATTAACATGATTGAAGTTATAACAAAAAAATTATTTAGTTTTTATTTTAATTGATACCTTCTTTTAATAAGTTTTTTTTTTAATAATTGTTTGATTTATGTTTCAATTAATATCTCATTTCTATGATTTTTTACTTTGCTTATTTAGCCTTTTTCTAATATATTTTTTCAAAAGTATTTTGCTTAATTTTTGAAGATATTGTTATGATTAATCTATAATTTTTTTTTTATGTTTTATATAGATAAATTTTATTTTTAAAAATAGAAAACAATATTTTTAAATAATATTTATAACATATACAGCCTTGCATAATTCTTTTTTGTTTTATTTTATTCAATTAATTTGATGTAATTGTCTATTTTTATTATCATTTAATTTAATAAAAAATTTTTTTAAAAAAAATTTAATAAATAAAACTAGATAAATATTCCATGCTGTGACATCAAATATCTTGATTATATTTATCTATTTATTTTTCTAGTTTCATTAATAGTTATAATTAATAATTTTTTTAATTTTTTTATATAGATAGTTCTTGATTTATTTAATTATATTCTTTCAACTTACTTTTAAAAAAAATCTACATATTTTTTTTTTTTTTAAATCTGTGACTGAAGCACAAATTAAATAGATAGAATAAGCTAAAAGAATTGTTGTCTTTTGAGCAACGATAAAAGATCTAACAAATGACTCAATATGGTTGTCTATGTTTTCCTTACAGGATTTCACTTTTCGTATTCCTTATTTGTTATATTATTTTTTACTTCAAATTGTTTATACCAAAATACCTTATCCTTGGCCACGATATCATTTAGACATGGAGCCTCTCCAATTGCATCAAGTTTAAAGTGGCAAGTGCTGAGCTAATTGGTGGTAAAGGTGTGTCGTGCATCATTAGTGGCCTCGTAAACCGCAACATCATCTTTTTAACCCTTCCATAATAAAATCTTCACTTAATATATTAACAATGACATATATCAATTTATAATATATACAACTCATGATTTATCATAAATTAAAGAAAACACTAATAAATACATCATAATTTATAGGATATGTACTTTACATGTCTACTTCTAGAAATACAATCTCATGATGGTGTAATGAATCAACATGTTATATCTACATGCCATTTTATATACACGTCAACTAAAATAGAAAGGTTCATCTTCAAAAAGATTTTTGATCTTTATAAATTTCATTTTAAGATATAATATTAATTTGTTATTACTTATTTATCATCGATTTTACTATTATGACTTATTGTTTATAACTCATAATTAGAATCGATATCAAATAGAATGTTTTTGTAACAAAAATTATCACATGATATGATTTTGTCAATGCAACTCCAACATCTAAAAAAATAATAAGGGGAGCCATGCATCCCTACCTTTTTGGTAAATTTAAGGAGTAGCTAGGAGTTCATCCTTAGAGTAAAGTGTCCATTCAACTTATTAAAACATCAAAACAAAATACTTTGTTATAAACAATTTGAAGTAAAATATAATATAACAAAAAAAGAATTTGAAATAGTTTTTTTTATTATCTATTTAACTCATTATAGTAAAATAACAAGATATGAGTTGGATTATCTTTAAAGATCATAGTCCCACACCACTTGACATTGCAACCCACAAAATTAATACAAGTTTCCAACAAAGATAATTTATGTGCTAATAAAAAGCTATTTAAGAATATCTATTACCTTGCTCTTAATGGAAGTGGTACCCTAAATGTTTTATCTATCATCTACATACCCATCACATAAGGATGCCTAATATATAAATGCTCATAAAACCATATCTATTACATGTAAACTATTAATAAACTACTCAAATATTTGGTTATATAAATCAAATATGATAAATCAAAACACTTTGTTATAATTATTATAATCGTAAAAGTATCAAATAACCACAACCTTGTTTGGAGCCTATAATGCATCAATAACATAGCTGGTGGTATAAATTGGCAAGAACTGCATATCCCAAACTATATTATAGAATATTATTGAACTCATTTGACAGTGATATATACTTTATTAGCACTAATTTCTAGACAACCTATGAATATTATGCTACAAAACTTGTGCATGATTTATGCTCTAGCACATCGATGCAGCATCTCACTCATGTTATTAGGTGGTAGGTCAAAAAAAGCATTCTCAAATTATTTCAGCTTGATGGCATATCCATTTAATATATCAACAATGATATATTTTTCAATAATCACAAGCATAG